GATACCGCACGGCATTGACGATATCGCAGGCTCGTCGCCGCTTCGGTTGTACACCAACGCCTGAACAGGAACGGCATGTCTTCTCAAAACCAAGCTGTTGCTCAAAGAGATTCCGAGGCAGCATTTCAAATCAGCGGCACAAAACTTGCAGAGTTGCAAACTAAACGAGACTTTTCACATGATCCAACGTTGTCCCTCTTATTTTGACCTGATAGGGTATACATTTGAAACTCAACTAATTCACTGCCTGCACATGCTACCTTCGATCTTGTGTTGGATTCAGCATTCTTGTACTGGGGTGGGGCCCTACCTGCAAGCAGCCCGTTGTCCTCGTCCGCACCCCCAGTTCTGCTTGCTCCCCCACCACCCGTTCCCGCACCTAACAAGAACAACGGAACTGTTTCTGAAGCCCTTCGGCTATGCAGAATGCCCATCACTACCACAAAGAGGTCCTTTGATCAGATAAGATCACTTTTCTATAGGCGAAGCGGAAGCGCGGACCACAACCTCAGCACATAACCTTGAAACACCGAAAGTGCATCCTTGAAGCTTTGACCTGCTTTGCGGTTCCTAGTGAGGAGGCTTCTCATTTCTCACCTGCTTCTGCCGTATGCCCGCCTGGAGCATCTGCACCCCCTCCTGTATTTTGGGTCCCTGCATTTGCAATGGTTGAGGATTATTGATTTTTTTTCCTTCCAAGAAACTTAAAAGCGACACAGCATATCCAGCATCTCTAGCCTGCATCCATCCAACATGGCTTCTGCCAAGCTGTGCATTAGCTGACAAAATAATCAGTGCATTAACAGAACCAAGTTGATGCTGCCACTTTGAAATGAAAGAGCACGCTACGAAACGTACCTGCTCCCGTGTTCAACCCATCCCGCGGCGCAGGAGGCTCCTCGCATTGCTGCCACCGCGCCACTGCATGCTTGACCACTGTGTGCAGGATCGCCCGCACCTCAATCGACTCGTTGCAAAGAACCGCAGACGTTGTAAGTGCCTTCTCAAGTTTTTGCTCGGCCACTGGAGGGGTGTTGTTCTCGCAGATGCACTTTGCAGCAGCCATCAGAACCCGAATCAGTGACGGCTTGCAAACAGACGCTGCTTGCTAAAAGGTCACGCCGTCTGGCCACCAAGGAGGACTTCCCTTGAAGTTATCCAAGGGAAAGGCCTTCAACGATGGCTCACAGCGCTTGAACCAGCCCGACGCCAGTGACGAGAGCTGCTTCTGGCCCAATTTGTCTAGAAGCACAGCCAGGTCCAAGGCAGCGTACCGGGGAAGGGCTTGCTGCATTGCACCAGTGTTTGTTAAGTGAACTTTCAAAGCCTCTCCTCGGTACTTTCTAGCCATCCACTCCGCCATGCTTTCAGCCCCCCCAATCTGCAGCTTCCCTGAAGCCGTGGTGTAACCGTAACACCAGCAAGTCACTGATAATCCACTCTCCATTTCAGCGAAGTACTTTCGGATCATCCGCTCTTTTGCCGCCGTTCGCTTCTGAATGACTGCCGGTGTTGCCTTCTTGCGCTGCTTTCCTTTGCAGGCCCCGCGCAAGGCTTGCCCCCCTAACCCTCGGTCTTCCCCCTCCTCGCCTTGCTCTTGCTCCTCATCTTCTACCTCTGCTGTACGGTCAATGACTGTTTGAATGGCCGAGAGTCTCAACTCCAGCTCCGCAGTTGGCTGCTTCCTAGCCTCCCTCAAAAAACGTTCAAAGACACCACTTTCTAGTGAGTCCTCTTGCTGATCTTTGTCCTCTTCTCTGTCTTGTTCCTTGGGTTCTGCCTCGCTTTGGGCCTGAGCGAGCTCCTCACTGGCATCAGATACCTCTTCCACTTCTCCGTCCCGGTGAGGTGGCTTTCCTTCCAAGTGGCTGGCAGGCCAAGAGCCACACTTGCACTGATCAATGCATTTACGTTGGCCCTTCCTTGTCACAAGCGCCTTCCAGCTGCTGTCTGCACCCTAGGCTTGGAAAACTTGAAAGAAACAATGGAATCTGGGGCCAGCACAGCTTTCAAATTTGTAGGGCGGGACGAACCCGTGCGTCTGGACTCATCGGCCCGATTTGTCCGCAGTTCAGGGTTTCCCATCGGGANACCCTA